AATGTAAGGGAGTTAGGGAAGATGGGGCTTTTTGCATAAAAAACGTCATTTTTTCACCCCTATTTGACCCCCTGGGGCAAAATCAAAATTCCGAAACCTTACTGCACATCTACATGACACCACCAAACATCACCCAAAAGGTGATTAGGCTGCTGAGTAAAATGTAGAAGGAGTTCAGGGAAGACGGGACTTTTTGCACAAAAAAACGTCATTTTTCGACCCCATTTGACCCCCCGGGGCAATATCAAAATTCCGAAACCTTACTGCACATCTACATGACACCACCAACCATCTCCCAAAAGATGATTAAGCTACTGTTTAAAATGTAGGAGGAGTTCAGGTAAGAAAAGTGTGACAGACGGACGGACGGACGGACGGACGGACGGACATGAGTAACAACAATATACCCGAACTTTCTTTAGAAAGTGCGGGTATAATGAATACTTTTCGGAACTAAAAAAAAAAATTTTAAACCCCGCTCAAATTATCCGGATGATAATAGTTACACCGAACATGGTTTCGTAATTAAATTCAGACTGTATAACATCCGGTTTGAATACCACATGTGTTTTCTGACTTTTGGGAGCCAACTCTTGTTTTTTTTTTGGAACTTACGACTTATGGCAAGGTATAAATTAAATATTTTTGGTTCAAAACTTTGATAAAAGCATCGATATTTTTACAAAAAGTGTCTTCAATCTCAGCTTATCCGATTATTCATGAAGGATATCCTCATCAGAACAGATTGTACATAGCGAATAGCATAACCCCTAATCATATGCATGACGATGATATGGAGGGAAAATTAATATACATAAAAAAGTGAATGTAGGTGAAAGCCTGTCCTCTTTTCTGAAGAGATTAAGTTTGTTTTATTGCAGCCCGGAGGACCGGGCTGCTCTATACATATAAGTTTAAGTGTTGGTGTATGGGGATTGGTGTGGGAGTAGTTATGTATAGAATTAAAGGTTTTCTAAACATTGAAAAGATTGTTAATCAGAATGTTCGTTCCGTTTATAAATTACGAGATACATAATATATTTACTTCCATAAAGTTTATCTGTAAAAATGTATATGTTTTTCATATTTGATATATAAAGTTACTTATCATTTACTATCGAAACAACGACAGGTCCCTTTTTTCAGAATATCGAATTTTACTTCTCGGATAAAAACGTACTCTGCACAGCTAGTTCGTGTTTTATATTCTAAAATTGAAAATTAATACATTTTTAAATATAAATGATGCGTGTGTCTAACTTTATTTTATATTTTATGCAGCCAACATTTACTTGAGGAATTGATCAAGTTTAAAATGGTATCGTTTTTGATTGAATTTTATTCGACTACAAGTTTTTAAAAATATTTGCGACTATCGTCTCCATCAATTAGACGCATGCCTTTTTACACATATCGAAGCAGTTTGCTGATCAAGACTCATTTTCATCAAGGCTCATTTTCATTGTTTAGGCCATTCCAAGTTTTTTCTCTGTTTAGCGTCCACTCATCTTTCCAAAACCTACCTACCTTTTCACAAAAAAACACACAAACCAAAACAAAAAATTAATACAAGCTTAAAAGTCATAAAAATGACGTCCTTCAAATGATTTGATCGAACTAAACTGCTTTAATAGAAGAAATATCTATTCTTAAGCAAAAACAAAAGATTAAATGCTTACAATACACCCAATATAACTTACTGTACAGAATTATTTGGAGATATTTACAAAATTCAAAAATTTCGACTAAATTTATCAATTTCAGAACTCCTGTTGTTGTGTGTTTTTCTCATATGGGGTGTCAAAAACCAAGGCTCACTCGGACGCTAAACATAGAAAAAACTTGGAATGGCCTTACTTTGAAAATTTCCCGGGCGACAATTGATGGTTACATCAAAATTTTCTTGTTGTTTATTGAAATAGTTTACTGCTCAAAAGATTTTTTTTTGTAATGTCTAACCTGTTGAGATGAAGATGTAAAAAAAGAAAATCTTAATAGTGAATTAATATTGATAGTTTGTCATGAAATGCAAATGAATCATCAGCTTGAATTATCAGTTTTTTCACAATTATTGACCTGAGTAGGTCAATGTATAGCAAATAATACATACTCCTTTCCATATCGCATCCTAGCCCGAGACACCAATTTCAGCCAGAGGGACAGAGACCCTAGGGCTGATATTGGTCGAAGGTCTGATACTGGATGTGATGTGGAAAAGGGAATGTTTCATTATGTTTATTACAAACTTGGTAATAAAATACAGAACACTTCAAGTTGAGAAGATCAAGAAAATAAGTAAATAATCATGCACAATAAAACTACTTACATACATGTACACGGTATTGTCTTACCGAACAGATTTAGCTGTCATTAGGTCAAAATTGCAAATAATAACATGCTTCTTATATCTGTATATACAGGTAACTCTTGATGGCTTGAACTTCGATTTCTCGGAAGTTCTTGATCGCTTGAAGTGAGTCTCCAGTCCCGATTTTTTCCACTATATAACTAAGCAGATTTGCACTTGATTTCTCGAACTTCTGATCTTTCGAAACCCTTGATCCCTCGAAGTCAAAATGCAGTCCGCCAGTCCCACTGTGCTGTGAATTTTACCCTTGATACCTCGAAGTGGCTGTGTGTATACCAAGTTATAATGTTCAAACTTTTGACATAACTGTATATCTGTGTGTCTGTCTGAGTGTCTGTTGTCAACTTAAACCTTCACCATAACTTTAGAACTATATGTCGAGATAGTGGCTTCATATTTACTTTAAATTAGTATGCATACTCCACTAATGAAGTGCTTTCAAAGGGCAATAAGGACAATGATTATGTGTCAGTGATCTTGACTGTGACCTGTATGCTAAAAAAATTGTTTTTTCGAACTTTGTTGCTGTGTTTCACAAGCGCATCTTGTTTTGTTGGTCTCTGACCAGTAGAGCTTAATTATGCGATAATAAAGCGTCCGGCGTCTGTCCGTCTGTCTGCAAACACTACTCCTTAAATTTTAGTCTGATTTCAATATAACTTGGCACACAAGTAGACTATAGATACTAAGATACATAATTCTGTGCATCAGTTTTTGATAAGTACAAACCAGTAGAGCTACAGTCTCGACAGAGACTTCTGGTTATTTTCTCTTCCATTCTGGTTGTTGCTACTGCTATTACATAATTAGTTTAAATTAGAATGCAATAGTACCTGGACATAATTTATCATTTCAGAGAGAAGAAAACTGTGTGACTTTAAAAGAAAACCAGTGAGATAAAATCATAGAAAATGTATGATGATTCAGGATGTGGTCATTTGGTAAGTGGTAATTCATTCATGATTCGTATGTATTTGACAATTGCCTGAAAAAAAGATTCTAAATTTTATTTAAATACTGAACTGTGGTATATCAGCTGTGAGCTACAAGAAGTTTTATGTAAAAGCTAGGGCTAAAACAATTTGCCCCCTCCATGTTATGTGTGTATTGCTATGATTGACATACAATCAGTTCTCTAATACATACACTTCAATAAAACTTTGTCGTCTCGAACCTGAATTGAACAGGAAAAAACTCTGAGATCTCTCCAAAAATTTGAATGAAAAAAATGAAATGCTTATTAACTGATTTCTTGCTGGTCAGTATTTTGATTACTTAAAGGAAGCTCTAAAACTGCACACTAAAGAGTTCTACTTTAATATCAGTTAGTTTTATGAAGTTAGAGTGATCTGCCCATAGATTAAGATTATGAAAAATGTTATTTTACAGTCAGTTAGATTATTTTTAATAGATTAAATTATTCTAAGAATTATTTAAAATAAAAAAAATAGGAAATTAATTATTTTCATAAATTTTTCCAATGTAAGTAAACAGCAATTATTTCTGCTTACAGATAGTCCATTGTCTTTGAAAATTTCTTGGGGAAATGAGGCACATACCGTATGTTCTAAATGAATAAAAAAGGCTCATTACGCACATATTTATATGAAATATGATAGATTTTTTTCTCTCCAAGGAATAATTTCTGCAAGTCACTAGGTTTTTAGAGTTTCCTTTATTTTAAAGATATTCAATGAAATTGTTTGAAGTATTAAATTTTGGTAAATTTTATGATACTAAAAGGTTATATGGATGAAAAAACAGCAAGACGAATTTCACATTCCTAAGAGTTTTCTCCAATTGTTGGCGTATCGCTCATTTTTCCCACTTTGTCCTTTGTAAGTTACTGGTTAATATTTTCAATCTTCAAAAATATTGGACAATTACAATCTGTATCTGTATTGGCAGAGTATGGGGGCAACATGAAAATCATAATGAATATGTTAATACTGATTTTATTTCCAAGATATTGTCCCTCAAAGTTGATACGGTTAAAGACGGAAAAAAGTGTCTTAAGCCGGTTGACCCCAGATCGACCCTGCGAAGGGGAATAACTTTTGTAAATGTGAAAATCCTTTATGGTATATCATATAGATCTAAAACTGACTGAATTTTGATCAGCCAATTTATGAACATGATGAATGGATTGTAAATAATGTTGGACAATATATGTAAAAAAAAATTACATTACTTGTTTATATATACATTTGTGGTATCTCTCCCATTGAAGTTTATAAACTTGTTATTTATTTCCTAAATAAACTGAGCGTACATGCAATACCGGTATAAAATTACTCATAAGATGCATGTATACTTTAACCATGATAAAATCATATGTGTCCAATGCAGCATATGATAAGTCATTAATATACAAGTACATGTGTTTCTATACTGTAATACATATATATATATTGCACTTTTTTTAGGTCCTGTTCTGTGGATGCCCTAAGACAGTGTCTACCCATCATTCCATCTGATATCACTTGTTCTGAGCATATTTCTCTCTCAAACTTAAACTACAGAGAGCCTGTGGATAGTGGATGAAGAGTGTCCTTGGACCAAATTTCTAGGTCAAAGGTCAGTATCAAAATCTACTGTATATCTTTATTTAAAATCGTAGTCCAGAGTATATTTCTCCCCTGCCTGGTGTAATCTAGCTTTTGTGCAATGGGGTGGACTACGTGGAGGGTCTGCAATGATCTTCAACCAATTTCTAGGTCGAATATCAAAATAAAAAAAAATCTCTCCCAAATATTTTGTTATTATAAAGAGTATGTTTTCTCTCAAACTAATCAAACTTAAAGCAGGGTTCTTAGTATGAGATACATGTAGTAATATATTCTCAATGACATAATAAGGCTGAAAACATTATTTATATTAGGCCTAAAATAAAATATTGTTTGTTTGCATTTGCCGACCGACCCCCTGAAAATGCACCCGACCCAAACTTTTTTAAAACCATTTTGTAATATTTTTTTCTCTCCAATTTTTCAGGATATTAAAACTGTTTCATTTTCAATTTTTTTCTTTATCAATCATACCAAGAGTGCAGCTTATTCATGTAAAGTAGGTCTATGAAAAACTTTATTTTATGTTATCTAACAAAGATCTGGAAATATTTTTTTTTCAAAAAAAAAAAAAAAAAAAAATTGCCTACCTACCTACTCAGACTAAAAATTATAGGTCGGCAACTGCAAACAAAGAATTTTTTAAGCTTGGCCTTATGTAATTTTTTTTCACTTATCATAAAGCATTAAATATTAAAGAGATACATTAAATGCTGAAATCATATGTATCATGGTCATGGAAAGTAATTATTGATATTGGTATATTAAAGGACATTGGCTGATCTTTCAGATTTTAAGTTATATTCAAGCATTATAATTCTGACATCATATAATAATTTTGTATGAATATTGCAGATCAAAGGTGATGTGAAGAAAACCAGGAAACTGATGTTGAAAGAAGTACTTAATGACCCTTATGAATGGACTTAAATGTGAAAGACTGTTCCATTGTTTATCTAAGATATATGGATTTATTTAATATTTTGATATCATTGAAAAATTCAGTTACAGTTTTTGTACATCAAATGAATTATTAAACATATAAAATGGTAATGCTTTTTTTCTTTTACATGTAATAAAATTTTTTGATAGATTTTTAAAAGAATACACATTATTTCACATTGCTTCCTTTAGAAAAGTTAGGGAATCTTGAAGTTTCCCAGTAATTTCCACCAGGAATGGGACTCCAGATAATTCCACCAAGTTTCCGCCACACAGAAAGTGTTACACAAGTTCCATATAGTTTCCTGAGTCAAGGAAACTGCAGGAATCATAAGGTTTCACAAGCTTCCATGTAGTTTCCCATAAAAGAAAACCTTAAGATTCCATCAAGTTTCCATTCCACGGAAACCACTACGCTCATATTCCATATGGTTTCCTGAGTCGAGGAAACTTTAGGAATCGTGAGGTTTCCCGTGCTTCCATGTAGTTTCCCGTATAAGGAAACCTAAAGATTCCATCAAGTTTCCATTCCACGGAAACCACTGCGCTCCGATTCCATATGGTTTCCTGAGTTGTGGAAACTTTAGGAATCGTGAGGTTGCCCCGAGCTTCCATGTAGTTTCCCGTAAAAGGAAACCTAAAGATTCCCCCAAGTTTCCATTCCACGGAAACCCCCTACGCTCCGATTCCATCAAGTTTCCTGATTCTGGAAACCAGTGGAATCTTCAGGTTTCCCATTACAGGAAACTACATGGATGATCGGGAAACTTCAGGTTTACAGAGGTTTCCGTGGTTCGGGATACCTTATGGAATCGGAGCGTAGGGGGTTTCCGTGTCACGGAAACTTGCCCAATAACCTAGCATCCGCTACGGAAACCACTGGGAAACATGATGTAAACTTGAGGTTTCCATGTGGTTTCCATAAAGTTTCCCGTGATGGGAAACCACTTTTTTCACCCAGTGATGATAACGAGCACTTTAATTGATAACGTTAGTGTATCAGTAAATATTATAACAAACTTGCTGGCTACACTGTAGATTATGTTATATAATGAAAATTCGTGAGAAACTGGAGTAAAAAGAAAAGTAAACCAAAGCCATTTAATAGCAGTTTGTGGGTAGCCTTGAGAATTCAGATAAACCAAAGCAGTAGGAAGTGATTGTATCAAATCAAGGTTAATAACCTTAGGAAAAAATCAAAGAATTTTTTTCTTTATTGACTGCTGTCGATAAGATATTCGTTATTAAAAAGTAAGATATTTTCTTTCTGTTTTTTAAACGAAAAGTTATTATGCCGTAAAGTTACATCAGCTACAATATGGACCATCTGTTTTACGTTCGAAAATTGGCTCTGTCTTTATATATAACCCACATTAAATGCCCCAAGAAAAAGTACGGGATGTTATCAACATTAAAAACAAAAATAAAGAAATCTCTCTTGAAGAAGAAACCTTTTCGCCTAACTACATGTAATATTATCAAGAGTGTTTGAACAGCACTGGAAAAATATCTTATTTTTGAAATCGACGAAAGGAAATTAAGATATTACCATCTTATCAAGTTTCTGCTAAACCTCTAAAGTATATGTCTTGATTCAGCGATTAAGAGATATTTGGGAAGTAGTGTTCGAAAAAAAATCTTCTTGACTGCCATAGTTAACATCATTGGGTTTTTCAATTGTTTCTCTTGCTGTTGAGCATCATCATAAAAACTCTATTTCAATATAAATCCAGCAAAGTTCTCATCGGATATGCTGCATTTCTTTTTACCTTCGTTTAAAAAATACTGTAGTTTCATCAATATTCGTTGAGCACCAATTTTCGAGGATTTGGTTGTTGAGCAGATCCACGAATTCAAATGTTCAAAGAATTGAGAAATATGATATTCATTTGTATAGGCAATGCTTTTGTCCACGAAATTACGTGTCCTCGAAAACGTCTGTTTTACAAAATCCATGAAAATTGATGAAACCACAGTATATTGAAAAATAATTATTGAAACAAAGTTAATATTTGATAAAAAAAAAAACAAAAAAGAACGAACATAAAAAAAAATAAAATCTTGATTGCCAGCAACGATAAATTGTTTAAGAAAAGCCTCCATAAAATACTAGTGCATCACTTCTTAAATTTGTTTATTTGATAAAATATTAACACCTCTTCTAAACTTTTCAGACACAAATTGCCTCACTTAAAAAAAAGTTGCCTTAGGTTACATAAAAACAGTTAATTACTGTGGGAATTTTAAGCATCGTCAGGCAAAAAACAACACAGTTTTGATTAAAAAGATAGGTATTAAATTCTTGAATTAGATTTAAATTATTGGCAGGTGTTGCAAGATCGTGAAAAAGCAAAGATGAGTACAGGTGTAAAAAAAATCTAATTATAGTTTTGGAGGTCTTACCTTAATACCTGCAGATATCTCCGGTTCATATATATTCCCGAGAGAAAATTTCAATCGACTTTAAACGGTAAGAATATTGAGAACTTGCAGTGCCCTTGTCCTGAATTTGTATTCCTTTTCTTCAATAAAACTTGGCTCTAGTCTTTGTGTATGACATACCTCAAGCATTTAAATTAGTCTACTTAAGACACGGGCCACAATTTGATTGGTTATGATGTGACTGCTGTATTTGCGATAATTTCATCTTGTGTATCTCATAGTTCATTAGGACTGCTCTCTCAGATTGAGCAAACTGCAATTCTGGAGAGAGAGAGAGAGAGAGAGAGAGATTATTGGTTGTAAAGTATGTACAATCATTAGATTGAAATTAAATAGGTTTTTTTACAAATATTTTCAGTTGTATTTTATGTACCATCATTATTATAAAATAACTTTAATGTTTTTTGAAAATTCAATAGATATATGTACAGTTTGTTCAAAGTTACTTTGAATTATTTCATCCACATACTTCAATAAAGAACATAAATCACTTAAAATTTATTAATTTGGAAAAAATGATATATTGTAAAGAGATGCTCTGTAGAATCATAACTTCGTTTTTCTGTCAAGGTCGCGCTAGTACTATAGAGCAAACGTCTTTACGATAGCGCCCTTTCTGGTACACTGCCTATGGAATGCAGGTCGCCGTTGTCGGAGCTTTTTTGCTCTTTATTTCCATAATAAAGATGATCGGCGTTTGCTTAATGTCTTTACATCAAGTCATATTCTCCCTAAATGGTACTCATTATCAACAGAAAATTATTTAAACGACTGAGGGAGATTCGATTAGAGACCATCGCTATAGAAGTCAAAATTGCAGATAATGAAAAGGCATCATTGTACGGGCATCAATCACAGTATTTGGTTTCTTCAACTAAAAAACACTTAACGTCGAATACTCAGTAGAACGATTTCATCAGTCGCGAGACATCGAACTGTGTTGAGCGCTATCAGATAGGTAATTTTTATTTTTTATTATACAAACGCCGAATACTTGGTTTGTCTCGAGGAACAATGATTATCTATCTGCATCATATGGCAATTTTATTGATACATATGTCAATCCAAGTGCATCGAGAAAATGCAAATTGGAACAAAGATTAAGCCGACAATGAAATAAAGTTTGACTTTTAATCGGAAAACGTCAGCCTTATTTTGCAAAATACAGATGTAATTGGGACAGAAAAAGCATGAGACCTCTAAAGATGAAAAATATATATTTTCGAAATAATCCGAGTGTAAATGCAAAACGTTTATTTAAATTGTGATGGAATTAATTAGAAAAAAGTTAACTCGGCTAAAAAAAAATTCCATGTGATATTGTGGGTATTGAATAGACAGTCAGATTAAAATCAAACCTTCACTAGCTCCTTTTTATTTTGTTTGTCGCGTGAAGTGTGTACAAATAGTAATACAAAGAAAAACAATTCATATTAGAACAATAAAAAAGACTCACGAATATTCAGCGTAAGGATCTTGCAAGATTGATCGCGTGACTTATCGGTAAAACAAGAGAGTCCAAAGTAGATTTACCTAATTACCTACAGCTTACCAAACTTCAATTTTGGCTTTGTCAACTTTAAAGTTGT